ATCAATGCAGAAAAATCATACTTGCAGTTCGTGTACCGATGCAGATAAGTTTTCTATAATTCAGAAACAAAAATGACTATTTTTCAAATATTGCTAATCTTCGATTTTTTAAATTTATTTATTTATTTAGGTTAAACTTTTACTCACCTTTCAATAATTTATAGTTAAAATGACGGAAAGGGATTCTGGAGCTCAAAACGTGCGCAGATAATATTTTCCTCCCTACATCACATAGTTTTTACTGTTTTTTTTTTGTTTGTTGTTTTTTTTTTTGTCTGAATAAATCTCAATCTATAAAAAAATTAAAGAGTATTTTATTGATCATTTTTGGCGATGTTTTATGTCATCAAAATCTGCTCCTAATTATTAAGGTGACCACTTTGATTTTCTCGCCTTTAAGAAGGAACTTCTTAAGAAGAGTAAGTTATGTAATGTTGCGCGAAAAAAACGGCGAATATTCGGCAGAAAAACGTTTGTTACAGAGCCCTGGTAACGAAAAAGTGAATAAATACAGTTGCTAAATTTAGAAAAAAAAGTCTTCTGACATATGGTGCAACCAGAAACCTTGTTTTGTGGGTCCTTGATACCGAAAAATCGATTGGCGGCAAAACGTCTCTCCGTGAACAACGCTAGCGGCTAAACTGTTCTGCCAATTTTCTCCAAAATTGAAATTCTCCGATACATCTGGCTAATGTCACGGCTCCTTGAATTTGAAATCAATATTTTAATTTTGTGGGGGTACTTTACACGAAGCTCCTGGGACATTTTCAAAAAAATAGTGGCATGAATTTGGATTAAATTTTGTTGTTAAATAGTCTGAAGGACATTTAAGAGAATGGCGCAGGTCTCATATTGGTTGGAAACTGATTTTTTGAAAATTGAAAAAGTTCAAAATATTTTAGGCGTCTTCGTACAATTAAAATATTAAAGGTAAAATATTTCCCTTAATGAAATCTGTACCGTAAAGAAAGATTTTGAAATAAGGTCATGTACAACTTTTTGAAAATTTGAGTATTTTTCGCATACTGTTGCGTGAAATATCGGTAATTTTTAATTTTTGTTTAAACAGTTTTTCTCAAAAACGGCTTCATCGTTAACTATTAATGAAATACATTCATCAAAAACAGATATTTAAAGGTCATATGGAAGTTTTCAAAACTATGATTTTTTGTAATTGGTCGTCAAAGTTACTCGCCCGCTCTGAAAATACTCTCTTGACCGTATTTTTAGGTGTTTTGAGGCATTGGATGCTACGTTAGAATGTGTGAAGTACTTTATATTTCTTTGATCGTTTCTTACATTGAAGCCTATTTTATACGTTTACGAATTAATCTTTTAGAAATTATTTAATTTCTATTTAAATAAATATGAAATAAAAATTGCTAGCCTTCTGGCGCCCAATTTAGATAGTTGGGTGCTACGTAAGTTGGAATTTATATATAATTTCATATTTCATTTTATTATTTATTATATATTTTTGTTATTTTGATTTAAATTGCGTCCTTTAATAGTGCAAATGTGAAAAGAAATAGATGAGCGGTCATTGTTGGTTACTGTTACCCATTGTCGTAAAGCCGCGCTGCACAGATAACATGTTAATGACGGCTACTTTAGATCACGGAAATAAAAACGAATACTTTTGTATATTTGTGGAATATAGGAATACTATAGGGTTTAATAATTACTATTATATATTTTTCGATTTATTTGTCTTCCAACGTTATCAGTATCGAATTATTTATTAATTTCTAAATATTTTACTTTCTTGAATTCTACTTATTTTTTGCACCAACTGTTCTACGATTTCAAATGAATTTTACAAAAAATAATTGGGAGAAAAATGGTGATATAAAGAATATAACATAACTATTACTTATGTCGAAAATGTACGTGGTGTTTTTAAGCGCCAATAGTTTTACATTGATTTACGAAAAAAATAAATGAAAAAGTTCAACGTAAATAAATGAAACATAAAAGTAAATACAATTCTTTATTAATTCAAAGAAAAATAAACTATGGTTACTTCTCTTTTAATTAAATGAGTATGTTTCCTTTGAACCTTTATGTTTGACCATTATATAATTTTCCAACAATATATTGGAAATTTTGGAGCAAGAGGATTCATTCATATTAATTTTACTGTAAGTGCTGCAGCTAGAATATCGACATTCAATCGTGAGTTCTCACTTAATCAACTAGATTAGCACATTAACACTAGAATAAAACATTAGTTGTGAAATATAGAAAAAGAGGACAGGAAGGAGAATACTTTTAAAGGAAGGACAGAACCAACAAAAGAAAGACTGTTCTACTTAAAGGAGGACGATTGACCACCTTATAATTATGAGTGTATACAAACCAGATAAATTATTATGAATGATTTCCTTTATGTTGAAAGAGCAATTACCATAATTAAATTATGATCAACAATTTCCAACGGCAGGCAGATGCAAACTTTTGTAAAGTACTGATATTAATATTGAAATTATGTAACTTACATTTCATCTTTCACGAACTTATTACATTTTAATTTGCGTGTTAAAATGTAATATTTCAAACACATTTTTAATTAAGAGAAACTGTCCCTTACAGTATTCCAATTCAAATAAAACATATGTTAAATATTTGCAATATTACCATTAATGTATTTTGGATGAACATTTAAAACATATTGTCATAAGATTAAATTGTTGTTGAGTCTTATGACAATACAGTAAATGACTGTGGCAATGTGTGTCTTGCCTAACGAAGCCATCATGTAAAATCTGCCCTTGAAAATATGTATTCGTTTTACCATTTATTTAAAGTTAACGATTAATCGGAATGAATCACGAATGTCGTTAAGCTGCAATTGTAAATAAGCTGAATTCGATAGGTACTTCTAAGAAATATCTTTCTGAAACATTCTTTCAGTGTTGAATAAAATCTTTCCAAGATGATTTCTTCTTTCAATCTGACGTAGTATGTGTTATTGTAGTGACACTTTTAAATACATCATGCTCTTTTGCTTTGATGTTACTGTTTTGTCCTTACGAATGTTAGAAGAGGCTAGCATATACGAATGTAAGAAGAGATTCGTGCACCGGAAAACGAAAGAAGTATGTGCTGTGTGTTATAGCATCACTAGTTTCATGTAGCAACGGTGCGTGGGAACCGATCGTCATTATGTAAATTCAAGGTTACACAAAGGCGTTTGATTTCATATTTTAGGTATAAATACATCGATTAGAAATGCAATGCGTTCATGAATCGTTTCAGTATGCACAAATGCTTAGATGCTTGTGCATTCGCTTCGTTGCATTCAAATGCCGCGCGGCGCCGCATAGCACGGAACAAGGCGGGGGACAGTGCAAGTGAGGAGGGGGGACTGCTCCCAGCTGTTGTTATCATCCGACCGACCGCCCCGCGAGTCATGATGACAGACACAGCCAGTCCTCTGACGGCAAGCGAACGGGGCAGTCTGTTACGTGTTCCGGAGAAAGTTGTGAGCAGATACTCGTGAGGAGAAGTTATGTGCTAAGCCTTGTGAATTCCAACGATACACCGCTAACCATGGGTGAGGCTGCTAGGAGCGCCAACGCCGAAGGCGATTTTTTGTTTACGCGTCACGCCCCCTTGCGAGGGAAGCCCGGTTTGCATATAGCGTGTTTTGTCACCGTTCGTTTGTGTTGTTTGTTCAATGAGATACGCTCTGCATCCTAGCCTCTGCGTGCAGTTAATGTGATGTTACAAAACTTCAGTGGGACAGAAGAAAGTGTTTTTTTAGTTGTGACAGTGGAAGATTTTCAATATTCGCATCATGAGTGTCTCAAGCAATATTTTGAAAACCATTTGCGCACGGTATGAGTATTTATGTCTTATGTTTTATGTTGTCAGGTCCACAACTGAATGGGAAAATTCCGAGTACGTCAAGTTACCCGGAGGTAAGTCGTGAGAGTTGTTTAAATGAAGACTTTGACTACTCATAAATACTTTTTTTTAAACATTTGCATGTTTTGTGATAATTGCTTTAGATTATCCAGAAGGCTCGAGATGCATTTCAATCTGGTCGTACACGTGATGTTACTTTTCGAGAGCAACAGTTGAAAAAACTTCTCAGGCTCTATGAAGAAAACACTGATGCTATGATAGCTGCATTAGCCGCAGATTTGCGCAAGGTAAGTTTTCTTAAATATAGTTTTTACTTGTGCTTTTCCTTAATTTTGTCATATTTTACATTGTTTCTTATTTGTTTTCAGAGTAAGCAAGAATCGGTGCTATTTGAAATTGAGTTTTTGAAAAATGATATAAAACATACATTGTTGAATCTTCGTGAGTGGGTTAAGCCTGAAAAGGTAAAAACAAGAAAACTAACAAAAAAATATATTCACAACTTCTTTTGTAATTTCTCTTATTCATTTTGTAAATGTTATTATTTTAGCCACCTAAAGGCATTGTAAATCTAATGGATGAAGTTCTCATTCATCATGATCCCTTTGGAGTTGTTCTCATAATGGGAGCATGGAACTACCCCTTGCAGCTTGCTCTTCTACCAGTTGCTGGTGCTATTGCTGCAGGAAACTGTGTTATTCTGAAGCCTTCTGAAGTGTCAGAAGCGTGTGCAAATTTAATGGCAGAACTCATTCCTAAATATCTTGATCAGGTAAAATTGTTTATCTTTTTCTAGAAAAAATACATTTCTATAGTTTTTGGTAAAGATAGAAAATATTTATCCATGTTTTCATCTTCTTTTAAATTTCATAGTTCCTTTTACTAACTTTTTACTTTTCTGAAAAATATTACTAGATATAATGACATTGACATATGACATTTCTAAAAAATATTACTAGATATAATTTTGTTTATTTATCTAGGATTGTTATCATGTAGTTCAAGGAGGAATTCCTGAAACTACAGAACTATTGAAAGAACGTTTTGATTATATTTTCTATACTGGCTCGACTAATGTTGGTAAAATTGTAAGAGCAGCTGCAAATGAACATTTAACACCTGTTACTTTGGAACTTGGTGGAAAGAGGTAAGCTATAAAATTTCAGCTGAAAATGTTAATTTTTTATTTATTTCTCATACATTGTCTCATTCTCTAATTTCTCGATCATTCTCTTGATGTCATTAATTTTTTGATCATTTCAGTCCAGTCTACATCGATGACACTGTTAACATGGATATTGCTGTAAGACGTATTCTATGGGGGAAATGCATAAATGCTGGCCAAACGTGCATTGCTCCTGACTACATTCTGTGCTCAAAAAACGTAGAGCAGGAAATTGTATCTCGAGCAAAACAAGTTTTCAGAGAGTGGTATGGTGATAATTGGAAGAACTCTCCTGACCTCTGTCGTATTGTTACTGATAGACATTTCAGGTACTATACATTAGTGTGCACCAATGTTTTAACAAGTCTTTAATATTTTCACAATTTCAAACAAACAAAGCAGCGATAGTGTGGCAATAAACAATTTTGAGTTTGAGTAATTATTACAATAATGAAGTTTTCACTTGCACAATTTTAATAAGTATTTTGAATATAGCAAGACGGTACATTAATACTATAGCAGTTGTTTTATCCATTGATTACAGACCATGTAAGGGCTTTTTGCTGTAAAACGTTCATAAACATGGTTGAAACAATTAAAGAAAAGTGAACATGATTAGTAAGAAATAATAATAAGAATAATATAATTACCTTTTTGATGCTGAGTATAGATTGTAAGTATGTCATCTCCATGGTCACTTATATTGATGAAAGTTTATATTAAAGAAAAGAATAAATTTTATGTTGACATTCTTCAAACTGATAAAGGGTTCATTATGTCAAACTAGGCCAAATGTGACAATTTTCATTGGGGTTTGTTTACAACCCCAAAAAGGAGGTGAAATAACTCCAAAGCAGTGACGTAAACAAATATTTCTTTCCAAATGACTTTCAAGAAATGCTCACATCATTAAAAAAAGAATTGCTTTAAAATACAATATATGTTAATTTATCACATGCATGTTTTGGTGACTGGTGATTGGACTTTTGTGATTGGTCTTGGTATTTCCCTGTCTTTTCAGAATGCCAAATAATTTTCTAATAATAAATAGTAAATTATTTTTTGGTTACCTTTCAAAAGGTTTTAATTTTCAATAAACGGTTTCTATTATTACACTGTGTACCAGGTGATCTTATCATTGCATGTATTGTATTCACTTTTCTATAATTGTTTCAAACTTTTTAATGAATTTTTTGTTTTGTCTAATACTGATGAGGTCTGTTTTGGTTTTATTGAAAAACATCTGTCACTATTTGATTATTACCTTGTATCAAAAGTATGTATGTATTGAATTATCATTCTAGATGTGAAATATATTTGTACACTTATTTTGTTTCTTTAGCTTATGTTCTGAGTTAATTTTGTGAAAATGATTTGCTCTTTTGGCCTAGATAAAATTAACAATTTGATTACTACCAATTACAGCTTTTATGGTACGCGTGACACCTGTTGGAATATTGTGATTGATTGTACCCAAATTTTGTCATGTCATACAAGTGTCAATTGAATTAATTTTTGTTGGATCCTATTTGCATTACATGACGTAATGAGAAATTTAAAGATTTTCTTAAAGAATGCTATTGTTCTTAAAACTGCTTAAATAATAATAAAAATAAAAAGATAGTTCATGGTAATTTAAAATTGAAAAAAATTTAATATTTACCATTGTACAGAAATAAACCTTATTGTATTGTTATAGGAGATTAGTTGGTTTCCTCAATAATGGAAAGATTGCTGTAGGAGGAGATACTGATGAATCAGAGCGATATATTAGCCCAACAATTCTTGTGGATGTGAAACCATCAGATCCCATTATGCAGGAAGAAATATTTGGCCCTATCCTGCCAGTGGTGAATGTGGAATCTCCAGAAGAAGCCATCAAATTCATCGTTAATCGGTAGGAAAAGCCTAATAAGTCATTTATTTGTACATTTTAAAGAAAAGTTATATTCTACTTAGTAATTTGAGCTTGTCCTGTGTTGTACTAAGTTCCTTTTCATTTTGTTAGAGCAAGTCCTTTGGCCCTTTATATTTTTACATGTAACAAAAGCGTCCAAAAGATGTTTGTGAACAATGTAAGATGTGGAAGTATGTGCATCAATGATTCAGTCATGCAGTTTGCCGGTGAGTCGCAGCTATTTTACCAGGTGGTGAATGGACAATTGAAATAAATACGGTGTAAAGTGATATAGTTGGCTGTGGATATATGGGGAAAATGGTGTATATATTTTAATTGTGGTAAAATGGTATTTTAAAATTCTTGTAATCTCTATTTTTGTAACATATTTCTCTTTCAGTAGACAGTCTTGTTATAACAATTTAACACTTATTTCTTATAAAGCTTTTAGCATCTTCAGAGTGAAAGGCAGAAATAAGTTTTTTAAACTTTTCTAATGTGTAATCATATTAGACTAATAAGACATTAGTATTAGTGTTGTTAACATGTGAGTGTATGTATGTGCGTGTGTGTGTGTGAGTGTGTATATGACAAAAATTTGTCAGTAGCTTTGGTTATTTGGTCCAGTGTCTTCAGTGTACTTTATGTTCCAAGTATTGCAACTTTTCTTCCGTTATTCCCTTTCTTTTCCAATTTGCAATATACCAGTTTCTTTCATGTCCTTTCTATACACTTTAACACTTTTTATATTTTTTAGGACCATTTTGAATTACCTTTCCATAAATAATATGCATAACCTGTTAGTACGTAGAAATGTGCAGTTTCCTTAATCTAGTTTTTTGTATCATGTAACATGTAATTTCTTTAATTACTGCAGAAGAGTAACAATGCTTGCTTGATGTTTATTACTAATAAATTTTACACTAATCCACAGATCGTGAATAACAGGAGATTTCATGGAAGAACAATCTTCATTTACTATTTTATTATTTTCCAGTAGAGAAAAATAACCAGTATCTTGAAATAGATAAAATATTTGTTTTACATCTACTTCTTATCAAAAAAATTAAATAACCTATTTTTTTCTTTTACATTATTTGAACTGCTCAGTTCATACCCTTTAACATTAATTTTGTGTGCATACAAAATTATGTGCAATTGTTTATTTGTAAATGATTGAAAGTGGATGTAAAACAAGTGTTTCCTACCATGCATGATCTGTAGTATTCATGTAGAATTAAAAAGTTAACAGATATACAGTTAGTTACTCTAAAATTCAGTGAACCATCTTTTGAGAATGGGCAGACTGTGTTTGTAATGTATATTTATCATTCTGAATGTGCAGCATGAAACAAAAGGAGAGAATAACTACATTTCTGGGCCTTCTTTGCATTTGAACTTTATCTCGACATAGATTAATAGTAAAAAATAAAATACTCAAGGAGAATGAGCCTCTTCCCCAAATTTCTTATAAAAATTTCCCAAATTGTAAGGTTAAAATAGGGGAATTCAAGGATTGAAACTTATTTTCTTAATTGTGTTTACTGTACAAGGGTAGAGGCTCTTTTAAAATTTTCCACTCCCCCCCCCCTTGTACATACTTGTGTTCATAGTTTTTCATATTTTAAGTCTTGCAGAGAAAGAATTAATGTAATAAACTTTCTGCATCTTATGTTTTGTTGCAATTTTAATGTTTATTATTCTGCAGCATTTCAGTCGAAAGAAGTTTCACTGGACACTTAACAATGTATCAAGAGTAACATTCTGTGCATGTAAGCAGGGGTGAGGTGTGGCAGCTTGCACATTCATAGCTGGACCTGTCCAGCTTCTTTTTGAAGCAACACACACTGGTCCCAACTGCTGAAAATCTGGCCAAAATATATGAAGGGTTGGCTTCATTTACTATACCAATAAAAACAAATAGTTCCATATTTTTGGAGATCATTCCATACCAATTTTCAACAGAATCAAGCCAAATCTTTATATTTTGGCCAAGTTTTCAACAGTTGGGACCATGTGCATTGCATCAGTAAGACACTGGGTAGGTCTAACAATGTTCCACCAAACTGCCATGCCTCACCCGTGTAGTAAGTTACCTGGTATGCAGAAGAAATTTCTCACTTGGGTGAAGGCACTAATTAAGAATTGTATATAGTGTATTAATTTTCATTGGTGCAGGGAGAAACCATTAGCTTTCTACATCTTCTCTGATAACTCCAACCGGAGGAAACTTCTTATTGAGAATGTCTCTAGTGGTGGTATCTGCTGTAATGATACTCTCATGCATTGCGGAGGTAATTAATAATGTAAAACTGTTAAAAAAGTTAAGTCATCTCATCAGGCTTAAAATTGTGTTCTAATAAGACATTATTGGGTTGGCGTTTCACACTTAGTTAGAAGTACGGAGTCTATAAAATGCTCTCTTTGATTGACCTATGCTAAAAGTTAGGGTAACTTAATCGGTAAGTAAACTTGGCAGCAATTAATGATGGCAACAGAGAAAGGATAAAATCATTCTAGATCTCCATGGCAGCAGTTTTTTTTTGCCCAAAAATTAAATAAGTTCATGCAGAGTTCTATTAGTAAACAAGGACCAGTTGTCGTTTACATATGATGAAATGTCTTGCCTACTATTCTTCTCATACTACAGAAATAATTACTATATCAAAAAATCTGCATGCACTGATTTCATTCGTACAAACCAAAGTAAACCTGAGTAAATAATAAAATGGCACATTTGTATATTCCTTTCTCTACAAAAAGAAGAGTTACCTCACTACCTAGAGTTATATTTTAATTTGCTTGAGAATAAGCAGATCTATTGAAGAGACAACTTTAACCTTCTAACAGTATATGATATTGGTCTTTCAGCCATTGCAATACTGATGGATAAAATTTAGATACATTTAATCCAAATCATTGTGAATATTTACTTTGAGCAAACAGAAGTTTTCATATAATTTTATTAAAATTAAAAATTGAATTGATGATTTAAAATTGTCTGGGAAATTGATGAATATTATTTATGTGTTTTTTGTGGAAGGTTGTTATAGTATTGTACAAACAACTTAGTTTTCATTTTCTATTGAAACAGATGGAATTTTGTTTCAATTAGTTTTTCTTGAAGGTCAGAACAGGGTTTCCATTTCACTTATTTAATGTATATATAATTTAATGTATATTAGTTCTCCTGTATTCACATATTTTCTGAGTTATGAGCGAGACATTTTAGAAGAAACAGCAACTGAATAGTGAGATAATGTTTAAAATATTGTTCAAAGCATGATAATGTTTGCAAAATTTATTTGTGTTAATGAACTGAAAATTAATGCAATTAAATGCAAAATAAATTATTATAATGTTTCATTTACTGCCCAGAAGTAAAACTGGGACCTACTTTCTTAGTATTTGCTCAGTAGTTTGCCATGAGAACGAGGAGAAAACTCTTAATTAAGTTGGAGTTACTTTCTTTTTGCTTGAGTTATCTAGACTTTATTAATTTTATCTTATTAAAAGTTTGCATTAATCTATTGAAGTTCAAGTGTAATGTTAGGATCATTGTATTTTTTTCTTTCTTGAGGTTTAGTGATAATGGTGCTTTATATACAGCTGTAAGGACATTTTTGGGCCTGTTGATGGAGAATCTTATTTCAGTTGTGAATTGAAAGTCGTTGTGAATATTTCAAATATAATACTTTTTAATTAATTCTTTTCTCAATATTTAGGCAGTGCCAAAGTATTAAGTTTCAAAAAATGAAAGATCTTATTTTCTCCATTCAAGTTATGTAATTCAAATTCAAAGTGGGATATCTTTTTGATCAAACAGTTATAGTGGTAAATTAATTCTTTCCTAACACGATTTTCTTTCAGTAAGATCAAAATAAATTTCAGTAAAGTATATTTGTAAATTGAAAATTGTGTTCTCTAGACAGCAAGAATAATTGTACAAGACCATTCTTATTGGTCAAAAGAAAACTAGATTCACATTGAATAACAATCCTTTCTTTCTTCACTTGGAATTTTGTGCCAATATTTTTGAATTTAAATTTTGAAGATTACTCACAATATCTTGGTGAGTGAGAGCACTCATTGCTAAGCAATCTGGAGAGAAAAAAAAATTAAAATTGAGGGAAGATTTAGTGTATATTTGTATAGTGAGTGTGTGATGTGTGTATCTGTATACACACATGCACACACACACACACACACAAATCTAAGGAAAAATGTAATAATAAATCTGCATTTGCAGTTGATACATTACCCTTTGGAGGTGTGGGTAACAGTGGTATGGGTGCATACCATGGTGTTTACAGTTATAATACTTTCACCCACAAAAAGAGTTGTTTGGTGAAGAATTATAATCCTCTAGGTGAAAAAATTGCTTCGTAAGTATAAAAAGTATGAAAAAGTCTCTTTATATTTCATGTAAGTGATATGTTTAGGTAGAGATTAACTTTATTTTCCAGGAGTCGTTATCCTCCATACTCAGATAAGAAGACAACTTTCTTAGCTTCAATGATGAAGAAAAGACGGGGAATTGGATTCAGTTTGAAATATTTGCCTCACATCGTAATGTTTGGAATTGGCGTTGCAGTTGCTGTTGGTTATAATCAGATAGCTAAGGTATGAAGTAAGAATGTATATAAGCTGTACAATTTTAAATTATAATTCAGTGATGCAAAAATGATGAACATTCATTTATAAACAATGTCTGTTTATTGTAAGGTGTACATGAAATATGAAAAAAATGTGTAGCAATATACAGTGAATTAGAGCTTGAAATGATACAGTATGATATTAATTGAATAATATCTTTCTTAAACTGGTTTTGTAGTTTATAAGGTATACTGAGTGAATAAAGTTCAGAGAGCAATGAAGAAGCATTGTATCAATGCTTCAACTACAACTTAGTTAAAGCTAAACAACATACTCTTTACAAAGCATCATAGACTTTCACTGCTGGAGTAAATAGAAGATATATTTTTCAGGCTGGTAGGCCGTGGTCCAGTTGGCAATGAAGAACCAAGGCATTTTGGTCCTTCAATGCCAACTGGATCGGCATAACAGCCTCGAAAATTTATCTTCATATACTCTTTATTTTTAAGTGTAGAAATATTCTTGTTCAAACATTCAATTTCTATCAGGAGTGTACTTCATTGTTAGCTTCAAAGAACACTTCTATAATGAACCCCTACGATTACATGGGCAGAAAAGAAAGAACTGTAGAAAGGTTACGCCTGAAAAGTAAAACATGTTTACTACTTGGAAACTCTCCTATAATATTGAATACATCATGGCTGATAGATTGCCTTAAAGCTCAAGAAGGGAAGACCTTGAAGAAAGGGTTTACACTACAGAATATTGTAATGAACAAATGATGGCAGATAAGCATTCATTGTATTAATTTTATGGTTAGATTGAAATTTAATGTTTCAAATACAGAACCTGTTAATAATAGGAAGCAGTAAAGTATGTGAGGCCCACCACTTTTCATTTAATGAAAAATCGTGTAAATTTGTTGTGTGGAAAGCTCAAATTTCTTTCTAAGCAAAAACCCTTACTGTGTTAGTTATAAAGATGTGCAAAATTGATATTAATGTTTTTTCCGAAGAGTTCATTCATGATAATATTAAGTATTTTTGTTTAAATGTAAGTAGTGTTTTGTTTAAATGTAATTTGATTATATTAATTGCAAATACATATTTTCAGGCAACTGGAGCAAATAGTGATTGAAGAATTTAATTGCCTTGAAGAGCAATAATGACTTGTCAGCAACAAATATATATACATATATTTTGTATGTGACACTTTGTATGCACAGTTTTTTTTATTTTTAAAAGAACTGTTTAAATTGTACAACATAAGGGTAGAATTACACACAAATATTTTGTTTTGGTTTGTATATACACACATATGATACATCATACAACAGAAAATAAAATTTTCTGTTAATAATGAAGCTGTAAATAATCATGGCTGATCTGTTTGTATTATTAGAAACTTTAATGTTTTTATTTGTGCTATAATATTTTTTATTTTGTTTATAGAATTGTAAAACATTGTGATGGTTTGATTATGAACCAGTTATTGTTTTTTCGTTTTTGTTGCTTTATGCAAACTGCATAATTGAAATATTTCCTTTAATTATGTTAAGTTGCAGCATGTCTCAGTATATGTCCAATTTTATATTAGGTTATTCAAACAAGTACATCACAAAGGGAGATTTATTATTTGTGATACAAAGTTTCAAACATCATATTACGGTGCTACATTATATGAAAGTGAATATATGTTTAAAATATACATATTAAATTTTTGTGTCATCAGTTTCTTTTTTATTTTTTGCACCCTATATTTATTTAACTTGCACAACATGAACAATATTTCGTAAGTGCTTGAATTTTGAAGCAATATACATGTAGAAAAGTAAATTTCTAATGCAATGGGCCCAAAAGTCAATATTGTTCAATAATTACATGAATGATATAATAATGTTCAGTAACTAAAATAACCCTGCATACTTTATTGCGAAATGGAAACTTGATGCTGGAAGAATTTTTATTTAGTTTTACGTACTAACTGATAGCTCCCTTTTTGTCCCGGTAGTTATTTATGGCTCACTCCTGCTGCTGTAACCAATATACCTGTTCTTCCTCCCCACCTTATCTTCTTTGCCCGCAGTGCTGGTTGCATTTTCATTTTATTTTAAATGTCACCATCAAGGGGTGTCTGAACCATACAGTATTTTGTTCTCTAGATTGTAATAAGTATACCAAGTTTTGTTGAAATTTCTCAAAATTTTAACAGTTTTGGGCTTTAAAATGTGCATTTTAGAATTTGCTCTAACAACATTTTCTTTAAAATGGCTCCAAATTTTCCAATGAAAATATGCATATAAGACCAGATATTACCCTTCTCTAATATTTAGGTTGTAATTACTATTAGGAATCTTTCTTAAGGCTTTGAGTGATAGCCTATTATACATATAAGAATAAGCAGAGGTGGGTGTTATTTAAATACTTGGAGATCAATTATGCATTTTAAATACATTTTGAATTTGAAAAAATGTATTTTGGTTTTTTGGGATGTATTTTTGAGATGTATTTAAATACCTAAAATAGTATATTTAAAAAAGCAAATACTTTAAATACAGGCAAAGAAGAAAATAGTTTAGAACGACGATAGTTTCCTTTTGTGTGATTCCGCTAGTGAATACACCTCATTGAAATAAAAATAAAAGCTCCTTTCAGCTGTTGAATTAGGGGTTTATTATCAGATGATTTGCTTGAAAATTAGCCTTTTTTTAAAAGGAAATTTCATTTCTTTGTGGTAAACATTTTTGATATCATTTTATATTTGAAAATGTTTATACATATTGTTACAATTCAGTACAAGTTATTGTCCACAAATTTTTTATGACTGTCGATTACTAATTTATTACAATTGATAATTACAACACATTGTTGCAATAAAAAATATTCAATACAAAGTTATCATATATTTACAGTACAGTAGAACCCCAGTATTCTGAACTACTTCGGAATGTGGTCTGTTCGAATTTGGAAATGCTTGGATTATCCGAAAAAATATACACTTCATATACAAATACATGTCGAATAAACACACATAATGTAGAATGTTATGTGAGAAACTGGCATTGTAGTGTAGCAATCACATCATCAAATCCCATAATCAAGCAGATTCAATTCTTTACGGCAAACCAAGTTTATGGGTTTTGCAAGTTTCTCTGAAAATTACTGCTAAATAAATATGTGATATACATTGTAGTTACCAGTGCAATAAACGTTACATTTGGAATCGTGTTTCAATAATTAGTTGTTCAGTTCTACATTAACTATAATATATTTTCTTTACACTACTAATATACATTTTATTAATTTGTTTATTTTCTCTCTAATGCAAATTTTGTTCATATTATCTGAAAGTTTGGATTTGGGGGGGGTTCAGATTAGTGGGGATCTATTGTATTTTGGGTATTTGAAATATTTTAGGTACGTATGTATTTAGCATCTCCAGTCCTAATTACTTTTGTATATGTATTTAAATACCTTATAAAGTATTTATCTAGTTCTTTTGGTTTTGACACTGTATAAACAGAAAATAAATCACATGGAATAAGAAAAGTAATATTTGGTAGTTTACACACTTTAGTGTATTGTAGATTAGAGAAAATTCATCAATACAAGATATAAATATATCTTAATAACTACGAAAATGACAAGTAAGGTGCACCTTTATTTGTCTGGGTGCATTAGTAGGAATGCAGCCAAAGCTGATCGTAATATTCCTAAACATAACATTGTGAATTCTTCAAATAATACCCTTACAGAAGACTAAAAGTTAAACAAAGTTTTTCCTGAGTAAAATTGTTTATGAATAAAGAATACAGAAAATATCTCTAGAGAAGATTCCATCAATTTTAATTCATTGGCATTGTGTCATTTTTAATGAACTAAATTCTACAAATCATGTTCACATCAGAATAATTTTTATGCAAATTTAATTTCTTTCTTTCTCCAACATCAAGTGTAGTACAGAAAGGATAAATTCAGAAATTTAAATACATGTCAAAATATGCCACAATATAAATGAAGGAGCTTTACAAACATTTACACATTTACAAAATTTTACAAAATAATTTTCCTCTCCAAAAACTCATATTTCTTTGGTACTCACTTAGGCCATTTTCCACTATTGCCCGAACAGACATAACTAAATCACCACAAATTTCTATCAAAATTTCCACCAATTTCCATCCTTATTTCATAGAGCTCTCTGATAAGCAAGTCGAAGAATTTCAGCCTGTTATTTGGATAAAAGAATTAAAATATATATTGTATAACCATAGCTGTAAAATTATTGTAATACACATAAAAATAGTTATTTTTATTTAATAGAATGCTTGAAAGTTTTGTAATATTTGCCACAAATTTACACAGTTATTTCAATGACTTAATATGAAAGGTTAAGCTAGATGTGAGTAATATTTAACTGCCATATCATGCGTATATGTTTATAATATAATTTTTATTTGTTGTTGCCTGTTATTTTAATTTTATTCAAAAATCAAACAAGAAAGATGAAAATTGAAACAATTTTTTGAAGGCAAAAGGGCAGTAAAAATAAAACATTTTTGCAGGTTTCACATGAACAGCTGTCATTTGGCCTGACAATTTAAATGAACTGGCTGAAAATGATGAACAGCTCCAATTTTTTCAATCAAATTTTACATAAATAGTGCAAGGAAGTTTGTGCCATTCTGTACTACCAAAATTTTTTAAAATTACGGTATTTCAAAGTTCACATTTACTCCAAGGTCATTAATGACACCAATACATTGTGGGAAAACCATGTCATTAGTGAGCTGCAGAACAGATATAACGTATTAACAATATAATATGAATAAGTGATTCTTGAAATTCTGGAACACTATTCATCTTCAACCATTGATTTCCTGCCTCCATTGCAGATATTTGAAATTGATCTAGTATTTTGGGTTCGTTGTTTTAAAAATAAATCAACTTATTTTAAGAGACTGACAATACATTAAAGATGAAGATATTTGGTTGTAATAAAAAAATGCACGTGAATTAAACAAATACATATATTTTCAAAAGTAATATTTTTCTCTTTCTTATTAAACACACTGCAAGAATAACTATTCAGCCAGCTGTTGTGATAGAATATAAAAAATAGGTAAGTTATTAAATAACTAGTGGTGCTACAGAATGGCCCAGACTTTCCCATATTAGTTTTCTATTTCCTTTGGTCTCGGCTAGCTATTCGAACTTGCCACAAATTCTTGCCTGCTGCCATCTATCGTCGCCCAAAGAACATTTTTTTGAAATTTTCTTAATTGTTCGGTGTCTTAATAGTAGAACAAAGGTATTATTTTAAGTATATTATGGCAAATGGCACTAAGCGCTCCAGTAAATTAGAAATTTGAAGAAATTTTTAACAGTAAAATTTTGAGTTTTCAAATAACTTCATTTCAAGCATTCTCTACTCCTACACCCTCTTTGTTTTTACAATCTCTCTGCACCTACATCCTCTCTACTACTACACCCTCTACACCTACCCACACACTTTCTCTTCTCCAGCAATTTGAAAGCACTATTGTATTTGTGATACAATAAATACGATAAATTGCTGGAAATTCGCATATTACCGGTCTGAGAGATCTTTCAAAAATATTACATGTGTATAATTTTGAAAAAAATGAAAAATACCCCAAAATGAACTTTATCTCATATTAAAGAGTGCAATCTCACTATTCTTTCGAAAAGTTTGAGGAAAACATTTGGAGCCGTGTTGAGATGCGATTTGAGAAAATAGCGTTTATGCGTTTTTGAAATTGCGAAATTTTCAGCTAGTTTTAACTGTAAACGGTTGAGTTTTCGAGAACGTTTATCTGACATTATTTAAAGCACATGTACTCATAAATATTATAATGTGAACAAATTGCCGGTAATATAAATATTAAGGACATGAGAGACTAGTAAATAAAAAATATATTTTTGTGAAAAAAAATAATAGAGCAATATGGCGTTTATGTCACTTCATAGAATACATTTAGCCCAATCCCTACCCAAAGTTTAAGGAAAAAATGTGGAGCTGTTTTTGAGAAAATATTGTTTTTGTATTTTTGAAAAATTGCACGCACTATTGTGTGAAAACTATTAACATTTACAAAAAAATGTACGTGACCTTAATGAAATAACAAATTATTTACAACAAATTGTATTTGAAGGAAAAAATCTCTATCTTTAATTTTGCAGGAAGACCCCGAAACAAATTCATACTTTTGAAATTTTCGAAAATTCAGAGTTATCCGTGAAAATCGGACCAATGCCACCTTTAAAAGTGTATTTTACTCTATTCTTACTAGGAATTTAAAGAAAAAAATGGCGCCGTTTATAAGAAAATTTTGAAAATGCCCCAGGGACTTCATGTTAAGTACCCCCAAAAACTAATGAATTATTTTTAAAATCGCAGGGCTTCGACTCAGGCCAAAGGGACAGGGCTTTCTTCAATTTGGAAAAAATCCTACATATGGTGTAGGTGCTAGTGGTGTTCACAGACGGAAGACAGACGTTATGCATAGAACCACATTTTCGGTATTAGGAGAACCCAAAACCTGTATTTCGTTGAAATTTCGAAATCCAGTTGATTTTCCAGTTTAGGTGGAATGAGGCCAAAACAATGAGTCTTTGTGCGGCAGGTCAATATAAAAAGAGAAAGAACTTCTGCAATGTCATGTGTCACAAGGAAGATTTTCAATTCCCAACTGAAGGCCCTTTTTGCCTTGAGTAACAGCAACGGTTGCCTGTGACGTTAAAACGGAGAAACCATCAAGAGACTTTGCAGCTTACGCAAGGCTTCAAGGAACTTCTATCACTACTCCAGGAAATGTTTTGAATGGGCGATAGATAATATGAAAGAAATATATTTTTTATTTTTACCAGTTATCACATGGAGTAGAGACCGAAGCTTTAAATATCGAATGGTTCGTAGGCTTGAAAAATGTGCGCGGAACCATGGAGTGTCACCCGCAGTGATTCGAGTTTCTGAAAACAAAATTACTGAAACAACTACTCTAGTTCAATTCTGAAGTTCTTAAAAAACGTGGTTTTGAAAATCTACGATTGTGGCGAGGAACCCAACACGTAAACGCCAAGTGCTGATGAAGAGTGCTGCAGCGCGGTGGCTGTCGCAGCTGAGGCAAATTCGTTTACGGAGCGAGCCGGTACGTTATATTTATTCATAACTTTAAACCCACTTCAAGATTCCAAGAGTAAATTTTCAGAATGGCGAGAAAACAGTTTTCAGAAAATATAAAGTATAATCCGTTCAAAAATTATTTTTTAATTTGAATTACCGCATTTTTTAAAGTTTGTTTACTATCTTATTGTTCAGACTCCAAAGTAAAAAAAATATTCACATTCATATTTTTTGCTTGTTTCTTATTATTAGGAAAAAATCTTAAAGTAAGGTCTACACACTGCTAATCTAACATTTCAAGTACCCATTGTTGCCAAACATTGGCCGATAAGATAA